TCGGAACATAAGAAWCATTTAAAAAAAATATGAAATAAAATAGTATTTTGAGTAGGTAGTAATTGTATGCAAAATTTTATTCCAACACATACATTATTATTGTATTTTATTAGTGCAGCATCAACAACTAAGTTTACAAAAATACAAATTTTAACTACATATTTAATGAGTATATTATGAGTATATTAAAATTTCTTGGATTGAGGCATATTATATTATGTTTATGTATTTGAAAAATTAAATAATTTTTTTGCTGGTGTAACTCAAAGTTACAAATCATGCATTCATTTTTAATAATTTGGCTATATATTACTATATAATTAGGTAATTATAAGATCACAAATCAGGTAGGTATGTAGTAGGTAGGTCAGTGGAAGCTCGTCAAGGGAGGCAAGTGAGRCTCAGCCTCACCTAAGTATTGTAAAGAAAAAGGAGRGACATWTTCTATAATTATTGTTATTTCCAATCGAATTCAAGAATATTAAAATACTCAATAATATATTATACATTTTAAAATACAAAATCTTTTTGTTATTAATGTTATTATACATAATAAAATTATAATGACAAAAAAATTTATTTTATCGTGTATAATATTATTATGATAGTCATACGATATGATACGTCATACTTCGTCACTGTTATCAAAAGTCACGTCGAAGATGTTCGTTGAACGATAGAACGATCTAGACGAAAACCGAAGAGTGCCGAGAAGTTAGTAATATTTTGCCTCAGACGAGTACGATTATAAAATACCATATCATKKTAGAGGGGGAAGTCGGAATTTTATTATGAAATGATGCAGAATGATTCGGGCCTCAGAGTTTGTCAACATTATCCATTAGTCATTTGTCGAAGCGACGTAACTTCCACTAATAGAAATAGGAACTGGTAGGTTGTCGTAATGTTGTTTAGTGTAAGTGTATACCTACCTATAATACTTTTATCAAAAACTAAAGATATCGGTTCTTATCTGTCTAGAGTCTARTGTCTTGTAATATTTTGTATTACAGTTTAGTAGATACTCTGAGAGTAATAAATAAAAAAATAATTGACAAATTTGCATTACTCAAAGACAGAAGAATAGATTTAATTTATAAAACATAATATAAAATGAATTTTGTTATTGTTTTAGTAAATGAGATTTATGTAATAAGAATTTTTTTTTTTAAGTTGACTTTATTCTGATATTTCAGATAACATTAAGTATGGTTTATTATTTATGTAAAACTTTTGATGAGGCTAATTGGCTGAGCACTCAACATATTTCTATCAATGGCAGTGACATGAAATTATATGCTTTCGAATATTTTTCAACGTCAACTATTAAACTTTTGTAGTACCTCCACTGGGAGGCTTCTACGCTCTGTTATTTTTATCTTGTTATTTTTTTTTTTCTACTTTCTAATACTTCTTCAATTGTTCTTATTGTTCTTTTTGTAACATATTGAATAAAACATTTAATAAGCAAAAAAAAAAAAACCATTAAACTTGTATAATATTTAAATAGTTTTACATTTTTTAATCATCAAAGTTTATGTACATTTTCATTKTTCATGATATCGCGATGCAAAATATTCTGGTGTACAATTTGTTCTTTGCAGTTATTTTACATGTGAGTTAAACATAAACTTTATCTACTAAATTATAATATAATTTATGATA